CCCCCCCCCCCCCCCCCCCAACCCTTTTTGTTCCTTCCTTCTCCCGCTTCTCCTACCCGTTCGCCCTGAAAACCGGCTCAAAATTCATGCAGCCATGCGTTTAGGGTTTAGGCTTTCCGGAGATTTCGAGACATGGGACCAAGTTGTGGAGACTCTCCTTTCACCCCACAGAGCAGTACCTTCCAAGCAGGGACTTGTCTGGGATTGTTGAGTACGAAAGAAACCACATTGCTAAATATTCTCCATTTCTTTCCCCTTCCTCCATCTTTATCTATCTCCATCACCCATGGCGCAGTCTCCCAAGTCGACAACAGGCACGACAGGTCTGAAAGATGCTGCGCCAGCGCCACAGCAAAAGTAATTCGGACTAAAACCTTAAACGCAGCCTTGCTGTCTACACGTTCTCCCGCCCGCAGGCCCTGCAACTGCTTCCACCTGCTGCGGCTTTTGCGCCGCGCTGTGGCCGCTGCCGCTGCCACTGGCAGCCCTAAACCCTGATCCCTTAGGCCGTGAAGTCCGATTCCCAAGACCCTTTGCCCGAAGAAACCCCAGGACTTCTGAACTCGAAAAGTTATACGTACTTGCCCGTCCCCAAGCCACTTAATCTCAAAGTCGAAAAAAGTTCAACCTCGCTTTTTTTGAAAAGCCCTGATTAGATCAAGTTCCTTCACAAAAAAGCCCAGTAGCACAGTGTGAAAGGTTCGGCCCCCCATCCGGATCGTCCCATAGTATCAGACAGGTTCCGTTCTGGAAATCCTGTGCCGGAGATTTAGGGCTTAGGGTTCAGGGTTAATGCACTCTAATGTACTACAACGAAGGTCTCATCTGCTACTGCTACGGTCATGGATCATATGCTGACTTCCGTAGTGCATTGCAGTCTGCGAGAGATCTTCAAGGGACTAAAGGAGAGACCCTTGAAGGGACCGTTGGGGTTATATAGGGGCTTTATGAGACTATATACGGGGTATATAAGGGTTGCATAGGGTATTAGGATTAGGGGTCCCTTCTAGGGGTCCCTCCTATTGTCCCTTAAGATCTGGCCTGACGCACAGTGCCTGGATACCACTGCAGATCCTCTTCCCACAAAGCCTGGGTTGTAGTTTTGGGGGCCCCCGAAAAGGTATCTTATGAACAGGATATCCGCTAAAACCCATAACTGGCCCATAACGGAAATCATGTTGTTTCCCAGATTTAAAGTGCAGATTGCTTCCCAAAGTGCCACCTAGAAGCTTCCACACGAAGTCCGGGCTGAATAGGCAATGCCACGGCAGGTGCCCATCGCATGGGCCTAGAAGTCACGGCCGCAAAAAGGATGCCCTGAAACCCAAACCCTTACAGTATGCCCTAAATCCCTGTACTATACCCTAAACAGTAACCCAAAAACCCTATACCCTGCACTCTTAACCCTGAACCATCTGCCGCACCGGCACGTGCAGCATCGCGATCTTGACGTGCTGAACAGCAGCCGCGGGGCCAGGAACACCCCGGTGAAGGCAACGACGGTCTTCAGACCATGCCGAGCCCGTCGGGGCATTACTGGGTTCTCGCTAAGGGATTTAAAATAAGTTATTACCGTAATAGGCATCTGTAGTAAATAATATAATAATATGGTTTCCCTACTATGGTAGCTTAAGTTAAGTCTCTTAACAAGAACCCAGATTGCAGAGAGTAAGGGCTACTAGGGGCCCTTTGAGGGCTACTAGGGTTCCTTTAAAGGTTCCCTAAGGGATCTGTCAGGGTTCTACGAGGGTTTAGGGTTCCTAAGAGTTCCCTAAGAGATGCAACTAAAGCTTGGAGTTTAGGGTTTAGGGTCTACAGATGCCGAAAAACTCAATGCCCATGTACCTTAGAGCTATTTCTCGAGGGCCAGGTATGAAGGAAATTGAGCTGTGGCATGCAGAGAAATAGCCCTAAACCCTAAACCCTAAACTCCGAAGCCCTATGTGTACCATTTCCCTTTCGCGATCTGTTGGAGCCTTCCCCCTTTGAGAAGGCCGTGAGCTCTTGCAGCTGCCTGCATTATCATTAGCCCTCACCCTGAGAGTATAACGAAAAGCAATGGTAATAGGAATACTAGTAGTAATAGTAGTACTAGCACTAGTAATGGAAATAAGAATCGTAATAGTAATGGTATTAGGAATGGTAATAGCAAGAGTAGTAGCACACAGGACGCTGAAAGGGTAGCCTGCTTGCACTCTCAAGTCTTCATGCCGAGCCACCAACACCCGATGCAGATCGCAGGCACCGTGCTGTGCCACCGCTGCTCCCAGGGAACGCATGATGGTGTGTCTAGATGCAACGCGAAGATAGAACATGGCCCGAGTCGCCGAGACAGAAAAATGTTCTACAGTATGTAAAGGCATGAACTATGTATCAACAACATGTCACCCTTTCTAGCAGAAGCCGCGCTTTCTTCTTCGAGTCTTTCAATAGTGTCGCAGTTAGTAGTGTCACTACTTTGAGGTGGCCGAAAGGCCTAAACCCTAAACCGTAAATCCTGAACCCCAAACTGTACACGCCTTAAGCCCTCTCCATAGACGCTCCCAGAACTCCCTAAACGCCAAACCCCAAACCCTAAACTTTTGCCCCAAACCCTAAACCCTAGCCTCGAAGATGTCGACGCGCAGAAACCTCGAAGGTTGAGGGTTTAGGGTTTAGGGGTTTAGGGCTTGGGGGTTTAGGGTTTGGGGGTTTAGGGTTTAGGGTTTAGGGTCATAGTTCTAGGCTCTGGGTTCCGGCGTCATGAAAGGCTTAACGCCTCGAGCCGAAGAGGTTTAATGCCTGGACGGGGAGTCCCGGT